TGCAGCTGCAGACATTCGACTGCCCTGCTTTGACCCGGTGCGGGTTGCTGCCGTTTCAAAAAGATCCATTGTCGATTGAGCCGGGGGAGGCAGATGTCTCCTTATCCCCTGTTCCAGACTCTCGTTTGCTTCGATATCTGTCGCCTGCCGCAGCGTCCCTCCCTATCGAAGCGGGGGGCGGGCGGGTCTAACCCCCCTTGGTGCTTTTGGGGGGATGAGAACGGTGGAACGGAGAGAGCCAACAAAAGAAGACCAGGCTCGTCCCCTGTTTTGACTAGGCAATCTCCTTTTTTGCAGAATACCAGCATAAGAAGGGAATGTTTTGGAAAGGAAAGAAAACTTCTTTTCTCTCCGCCTTTTCTCCCTTCTCCGCAATTTTCTTTCACTTTCGGCGCAAATGCAGGCTCGGGCACCACTGTGCAGACAGTGGAGGGGGCCCATCGTTTTATCGACAGGGTTGGCAGGCAGCAGCGTGCTACAGCGACTAGGGCTATCCGTCCGCTGGCAACCAGATAAATTTGCAATCAAATGGACAAACAGTATTCGATAGTGAGGCCATTGAACGAATCGGCATCGAAGTCATCTAACCGTCAGCAACTCTTCACTGAAGAGGAGCAGGGGCGACTTCTACAGGAAGGGAACTGTCGTAATAACTTTTATTATTCATACAGGTTGTGTAGAATGGGCTGTTGGATATAGTTATCTAGTCACGAAGGCCAGTAAGCCACAAAGCCCGTCATTGTTTTAGCTGCTGATTTAAATTAAAATATTTTACTTACACTTGAGTGACGGCTAACTCAAACACTGAATGAAGTTTTTAATGGAATCGACGACTGCAATACGAGACTCTCACAGCATTTGTTTGTCTGACACTTTGAAATACTTAGTTTGTTACTATGTTTGCTTTGAAGGTTTTAGTCGTTCAATTTTGAGCTTCATGCTAATGTAACACATATTACACTTGCCCCTCCGTTTTTACTCATTGATTAATCCATCGCCGTATGCAATTGGTAACGTAACGGTTAATATACTCGTATGATTAGTTTCGATGGGCTAGCTCATGCATTTGATTTTATCGCGCCCTACTATTTGTGCTTCACCTCAGTTTATTGCGTTCCCTATGGCTGTTTTTTTTTCTATTTATGTATTATGACTCTTTATTATTACTTTTTGACGATTTCATATTCTTCGATGCACACTACATTGTCACTAGTACTAGTACGAAATTCATGTATAGCGTTAGTAGTTTTCTACTAGTTCGATCCTTGGCTCCCCACCTTAACATCCCGTGAGCGCAAGATTCGCCGACAATTCCGGATGCAGATCCATCCTGTTCAGCTCTAGGGAACGCAGAGAGGCTCCAAAAGGCAAGCTTTGTCGACCGTTTTCGTATTGTTGTGCACGAACCGAATATTACCGTATCTTATCTCGCCAGTACAGTAAAATACAAATGTCCTATTTTGGGTTTTTCGACGTCGCTTGCACACTTGGGCAATAGGCGCGTGTCTATAGGGTAGTTCTTCGCTGAAAGGCAAAGAATAAGAGGACGAGAGAGATAGATAGAGAGAGAGGGGGAGAAGGGGAGATAGGAGCGGTTGCGGGGGGAACGCCCCAGCGATCCCACAGCCACCTTTCATCCCCTACGAGTCCAACCGAGCGTACATTTGCTACTGCTGTTTTTTCTGGATGTGTCCGGCGCGACGTAACATTCTCGACACTTAAACACCCCGATAGTCGAACGACTGTGGCTCGGTACCATGCAATGACCACACCTGGGAGGACGTCATACTGCTGTAGCCACTGCAAACAACTATTACTGTAGCCTGCTGATGCCGGTTGCCAGCTTGATGACAGGCCTTAACAGGCCAGTGGGCAACGTTTGGTCTCTATAGGACAGCTAACGCGCTAGTGGCGCCAACAATGTCACTACTTTATAGACATATACAGCAGCAGTCACATGAAGTCGTCGTACATACATCGCCGTCAGTTCGCGATTGCACTTCTGCTTGTTTACGGTACAATACACCTGAGTCGGTTAAATCACAGAAGGCTGCGCAACGAAAGGTAGGTGCTGGTCTCAATTCCCATCGGTGAATTCGGTTTGCGACATATTGCTACCGCATTTGACACAGCCTACTATTTTGCTACCATCCATACCAACCTGACATATATATCAGGTTGGTATACATAGCGTATTTTCTTCCTAGAGTCCTTTAAAGTGACATAACTCACGTAGTATGAATCGCGGTCACGTCATTTAGAAGTTGAAATTTGTTGAGTTTGTTGAAAATTGTTAAGATGGCTTTACTTCGACTTACGATCAAGCGCCTTAGAGATAGGTGAACGTGCTGCAAAAATTAAGTTTATTCTACATAAGGGCACAAATATGTACACAAATTATCAAAAAAAAAAAAAAAACAATTCGCGCCTTATGGCCTAGATACATTATTATAAAGATGATTCTGAGACTTTCGTCTTGGAAATTTTGCTTCTCGTAATGGTCAACCAATACGTGAGCACTCGTGTCTCCATTTACCACCAAACAGCTTAAACCCGTATAAAGAAAGCTAGCAAAAGAAGCTTAATGCCTGGGCGCGACACGAGTTGACCCAAGACCGACCATATTTCTACCGACGCAACTCTAGGGCAATGCAATTAAGCCATTTCTAAAGCAGTTAACTACCAGTGACGAGAAATATATGGATTGCATACAGCAGTAATGTGTAAATCCGCTACACAGTACGTGACGAAGCCCAGATTGACGCCAAAGCAAATAATGCTATGTATTTGATGGGACTGGAAAGGAAGTGCGCATTGTGAGTTCCTGACACCCAGCAGAACGATTTACTCGTACCTCTACCTACTATTAACAACTAACTGGAATAAAACAAAACATTAAAGTATCGACCGACAAAAAAAAATAGTGAACGTAAGAGGCATCATCTCTTCACGATGACAATGCTAGAACAGACAGATGTTTACGTACCCAGCGAAGATCGAAAGAATTTGAAATAGAAAATTCAAATACATACGCCGTATAGCCCTGATCTTACACTATCAGATTATCATCTGTTTCGGTCTTCGCAGCAAACCCAATTTACTTTCAACAGAACTTACTTGATACGGTTTTTTTTGCCCTCTATTTACAGAACCTCTACAATAATGGGATTATTGTGCCACAAAAACAATGGCAAAAGATTAAAATGGCGCCCATTTAATTTAGTGGCGTTATCATAAAATACTTTCTTTAATTTTGGCTAAAGAAGTGTCACTACTTTTTTGACAGCCCAATATATTATATGTACACATAACGTACACTAATTGTTATCCATATCTTATCTGTAGCAGCGCTCATAACCGCCTTACTTTAGTCAGATTTCGCCGTTTCTTGGATGGAAAATGACGATAACATAACGCGGCCGCGATACGAAACGCTAATATTATACTCGGACTCCATTAAGCACACAGAGAGAGGCTGTTCCAAACTGGGCGATCAAACAACTACATATATACGACGCTCGCTGATCAGCAGATTGTGTCTTTGGCCACGGGACCACTACCTAGATGATACAGGCACGGCATAAGTTCCCCCGTGACGTCATAGGCGACGCCCGTTACCAGCTGCGTGCAGACAGACTAACTATGAAGGAAATCGCTGCGTGCGAGTCGTTACGTCTGTCATCGCACGGCAAGGCGAATTGAGCTCCACATAAGGTGTTCAAAGTCCGGTCATGTAAGCAAGTCGATGCAGTGTGGCCAATGCATACCCCACCATCAAAGTTGACGGTGCTCTGTAACTACAAGTAATTGAATTTTCCTACCGTTCTTGCCACCGTCTTCCTAGCAGGCGGGCACTACGAAAGACTGATATTGTTCCACAGGGATCGGGCCGAGCTGACTGATAGTGACAGCGGCAGCAGTACATTTTCACAATGGCGACTGTCGACTTCATTTGCGCTCGTCATATATTATAATACAGCTCTTCCTCCGGCGCGTCGTGCCCGTCTGCATAGCCGACGACGTTAGCTACAACGGACGGGCCTGGGCGACAGAACACAGCATATCATAGACGAATTAAAGGCGCAGGTAGAAAGTAAAAAAGGATGCATGTAAAGGATAACTGGAAAGAGCAACGTCTGTGACTGACTCTAAATCCATCCCGCCCTCTTGATTTTTCCCACTTTATCCCCAATATTCGCATCGAAAGAGATAGCAGTTGGCAACTTTGGGACAGAAGGCCAACTTGTCCGATCTTGAACACACAGATAGTCGCACTATGTCGTTTCGTGTTCTTTTTTTTTTTATTATGCATTTGCTATTTGCAGCGTGTTACTTTCATTTTTTTTATCGCGGTCAATCCTTGCAGCTAACGCAACACTGGCAAAACAGTACAGTCCTTCAGACCTAATACTGACAGGCTGGCAAAATCTACAAACTGAAATTGCGACAAAAGAACGACGTAAGCGACCGCCATCGAACCCACCATCTTATTGTAAGCACTTGTGCTGAACATCAAATCCTTGTGCTAGTGAATCCGCATTTTGCAGTCGTATACAAGCGAACCTGAACAAACATATACATTTGGACTATTACAGAGTTGTCCAAGCAGATGACATCCGTCAAACCCGCGCAACGCGGTCTAATCGCCATGGCAGAATAGCAACACTTTCTATACCCCTGAAGCTTTAGCATGCCATGTTGTATTGCCCCAACCCAACTTACCTTTCAGGTGCATCCTGGAACAACGGACACGCCAGGAAAGCGATGCTTTAACCCATCGAATCCTTCGTATATTCCTCGAGACGATACGGTATTAACGTGCTTCTCTACAACTAAACTCAAACGACACCTCGAAAACTAGTCCAGGCTCAAAACCGGACATGGACACACATTGTGTCCTGCTGGAGGAAGCCAGCCGTTCGGGCCAGCGGGCGTAAAATATAAAGCATTTATTTTCGTATAGTTAACGGCAGCAGAAGGTCACTACGTTACGCACTCACCTGAAACGAAGTAGATGAGCGGTTCCGGCAAGCGACGACAAGCGCGACGCTGATAGTGATTATTGCGAAGGTTGATCGTCGATGTAAAGATTTTTGAAGCAATCAAGATAGCAACAGACGGTGCTCCGCCTGCTGGCCCGTGAACAGTTAACCAGCTCACTGTCGGTGTGTTTCGTTTGCAAGGGAAAGATATGTGGGTCGAATAATTTTCCCGCTATCGCTCCCGTTGTTGTTTCCAGTTACGATGAAATGACAGCTATGCCAATGTCTTTCTGGTACATCATATTTCCCCGACTCTTCGGCCACAATACATTGTAGGGACTCGCATACACGCATATCTCCATTAATAGTAGGTTTTTTTTTTGTAGATAATCACTTTCGGCATGTACTCGTCTTCGTTGGACGACCGCCATCAGATGGATTCACGCACACACATGTACAATAGACATCAGATGCCTTCGTGAAAGCATACGGACTGATACACTGCACTCGTCGTATCTTCTTGAACTCTGAATCGATCAAGTAACGATATTCGCAACTGGCCGCATTTATTCTTGTATATAAGTAATATTTCCTTCAAGCTACTTGTATCATTCATGAACGCTGCATTATCCAGCTGTCAGCTCATTGGAAGCCAGTTGGTATCAGACCTGCTACTTGTATTTAGCGTTTCAGAATCGTTTAACTGGAGTAGTTTCTGAATTGATCCACCGCTGAATGGCAACGATAATCATTCGTGCTTTTTCCCTAGAAATCGAATAATTTTTACAATAGAAAGATCTGAAGCTGCTTCCGCAGCTGATGGACTGATATCGCTGCTCAGCTATATAGAATAACGTGTGATAGCTAAGTGCCCCGTTGGTGACTGGACAATCTTTTGCCAGGTGTTTTTCTCGCCTTGTCTTCCCGCTCACCTTTACCCGTGTCGGGGCCAATGCACTAACTCTGGTCTGTTCACTTAATAGTATGAATAATTTTCACTTGCCATTTATCCTATTCGTGGACGTATCGCCGATAGAAAATAAATTCGAGACAAATTAGCAGGTTTCAAATTGGGTCTTCTACACGTTATTCGTTTCGCGCACGTTTCGAACCGCGCGTTAGAAGTTCGGAAAACACCAAATCCCTATCCGGAGGAGGTCCGCTCACATACGGGGGCACTCATACTCGCAGTCGACCATGAGGTTGAATTTTTACACTTCAGAGAATTGTTACGTTACGTGATAGAAAAGTTCTAATTAAAAAAAAAGCACATCAACAACCCACCAGGGGTTTGGGGGGGGGGGGGGGGGACAAAAGAGGTGATAACGCCTTTCTGTTGGCTCCGAGTTGGTTGTTGTTTTTCACCGAGCGTTCATCAACAACATTGCCCCCACCGGGAATCCTAGCGGTGGGGTTAATACCAAGATGACACCAGCAACGAAAGCTTCAACACAACAACAGCAATTGCCGATTATGTGGGTACGACACGCTTTTTAAGACTAGCTACTCCAAACTTGACTTGCTGCAAGTTCGAGGATGTTACGATCTGAGAGGATTAAGGCGATCGAGGATTATCCTCAGCTGCTATTATCTCATATGTCCACTACAAAGATCAAATGAACTCGACTCTTTCTGATGTTGCGGAACGGCAACCGCTCAACGGACAAATGCCTGCCTACCAATTACGGGTTACGAAGTACCTTTGATTGGTATTTTTTATTTTTTGCTTGAACTTTGTACCGCAACAATTGTTTAAGTTGCTCGATAGCTCCTGTGGCTGGCTTAGCCTAAGCTGTACCTTTATAGAGAATCTAATGTGCTGTCGTGACCTTTGTGATTCTATGAACAAAGTTGGACCATTTAGTTTACTACAAATGGCACTATTTTCTTAATGTGTTTTGAACAGAGTATACGCCGGTGTTCCGTTTTGTCCATATAAATAATGCCGTTCCATACGAGTTTGATCTTTTGGCTCTGGCCTGTTCGAATTCATCTTCAGTTTTGCGGCCTACCTCGCTACTTCGTTCGCACCGAGCGAATCCACGTCGCTTCTCGTGTCCTGCACGAAAACAACACGGAATGGTGTCCTGGTTGGGCCAGAACCGTGGCCAGTTCGGAGGCTTCATATCATTTCATTTCATGACAATTATGATCGAGGTTCAACGATGAATCATCGTGCAGGTCCTCCATGCTAATATGTTGGGGGTGGAGGGCCCGTTGAACGTTGTATCGCACGCATACCTAACATTATCAACGACGACATACTGAATTATAAATATATGAAAAGCATAAGACATCATCTATATCTACTTATAAATAATCATAGCATACGGCGATCGTCCAATTCGTCCTGCTTGTAATGGTACCCTTAGCTAACTTCAATTACTTCCTTTTTTGAAGAGCTAACCTTTTTGTGGTTGGCATTGCGCATCGATTGGTTTTTCTGTCAATGTAAATTGACCATGGAACGCATAGCTATCAGCGTCAGCCAGCGGCCAAGCAAACGACGACCAATATAACTGATATATTTTGCGTCCGACGTTACTGTTGTCCCACGTTGGTCCTGAAGCGGCAGCGGCGCAAGTTAAGAGGAGCAGGGATTATCTGTAGCAACTCGCGATGCCGTCGTCGTTCGACCGGCCTCGCCAATCAACATTACACCGAGCCGTTGTTTATAAGAAACCGGAACCTCATGCGCAAATTTCCTCTTATCTGTCCCTCAATAGGAAACGCAGCGACTGTCGAATCAAGCGACAGCCTGTAAGGAGAACGCGATTTCGAACGCCGTCATTTTGACAGGGCACTGACCGCCCGTTAACGCTGAAAGATAGGCTTGCCTATAGTAGTGTTGCTGCAAAGTGGCCTGATGAGCATGTACGAGCAATAATCAGAGCCACGACAGGTCTCGCAGCTGAGTCATTGAATATGTTTTTACTCTAGCTGTTTACGCCTAGGTGATTGTTGAGCGGGATTTTTGCCGCTTTCAGTAGTAAAATCAACGACGTAGTTCGTTCACCGGTGTTTCATTCTGCTGACTAGCGGCTAAGATCCGACAGTGTATATGTCTACGAGGGTTTTGTAGAGCCAAACCTCTCATACCACTATGTGTAGACAGATCCAGATCCAAACCTTTCAAAACCACCAGCCGTTTCCGATGCCGACGCGTCTGCCGTCCTCCAGACAACGCTTAGTCCAAGCACTCCCGCGTCGTCGTTTGCGGGCGGGATGCAATACACGTCACAAGCTCCGTTTTGCCATCCTTTTGTTGTCACTGCCGCTAGAATTTGTTCAGTATTAAAAGCAGTCGTTGTAGAGATAAAAGCAGCAACAGCAGTAAAATTGCTTGTAGTGATAGCAGATTTACAAATTGTATCAAATGAGCGAGCACTATTCGGTAACGGAGCCGAAGATTGGGACGAGGCCGGGCCAACGTCGGGGGCACCGCGGGGGTGACGTTGATGACAACGGTAACAAACAGGAGAGTAGCCTGAGTTTTTATGACTGATAACACAGGTTGCTTTTTGGTCTTCACCTTGGCAAAGTTCGTTAGTCGTACTGTAACGCGACTGATCGATAAAAAAGCGGTGACTGCCAGAACGATTATGATGATAAACGATAACTTGGTTACGATGGATGCCGGTAGAGGTGGTAAGATCGCTTGCGCTGATAGTGCAATTTGCTTCGGACGCTGACGTTGTTGCTGAGAGATGTTTTTGATTGGTTGTCTTCGCTAAAGCCAGGCGTTTTTTCGCCTGTTCTGGTATTTTTTTGCCTGTTTGTCCTGTTGTAATAGATTGTGCGTTTATTGTTAGGTGTGGATAAAGTTGCTTAATTTGTTGTCTGGGCAGATTTCGCTGATCGATTTGCATTTGCTGCTTGTTACTTTCACTGCAATTTGTGCCCTTGTTTGACACGTTGGTAATAATAATGGAAGTAATTATAACAGGATCTTGTTGCAATTGCAGCACCGTAGGGTGACGTCGTTGCAGGAGGCCACGAGGGGGCCGTTGACGCTGGGCAAGACTGCTGCCACAGGCTGTGGCCATGTCGTCTGCTGCCGACCAGCAACCTGAGGCACTGGCGTTCCAGCCGGCCCCGCTCCCAGATGCGTGCTAACTGGGTTGACCAGATGATTAGGACGGCGTAACTATAGATATATGAGTGCTTCGTACGGCTCCTGTGATCAAAACACAGCTGTAATATGACTTATAGCAATAATGGTAGTGGAAGTTAATAATATAAGATAGCTAGCTTCTGCGTAGAGACGGCCTTTCCTTTCGGCCTTTGCCGTCTTCACATCAGCATTAACTAGCTGGTCGGTGGAGGCTTGCTATCGTTTGGTTCCCAACACATTCGTAGCCCAGGCATGGCCCAAAGCCGCTCTAGCTGCCGTCGCCAGGAGAGCAGGTGGCCACCTTGCACCTGCGAGTGAACCGCACCTGATAGCACCGCTACATATGGAAGCTACCGGCGCTAGGCAACATCGTCGAATAACACAGCTGCTATGGACGGCTTAAAATGGAAGATGAGCGCGGAAAAGAGGCAAGGTTCCACAGTTCTCTACACGATTCGAACAAGCAATGACAGTCCCCCAGACTCGTGAAAAACGGCGACCACTCCAAGACGGTACAGATCGATAGAAGATTGAATTGATAGAAAAAATTAGGCACGAAGGAAAATCACCTGTCGATCTGCTACGTTAGCACATGTAGCATTTCCTCCCTGTTGCTTAATTCTACTGGGGCCATTATCTCATTAGCAATGTCATACTCATACGGATGCCGTCGCGCGCGCGCGCGCGCGGCAGTCATGGACCTGTCAGAAGCTGCTGCTCGATGCGCAGCAGTGTTGTCAATATCATCTTTAGCGCAGGGTGACAATGTAGTTATTATATATTATCGTTAATATCCACTAATTGATAAACGGAATTGACTGACACCCAAACGCTCATTGTCGCCGTTCCCAGTATCATTATTGTCATCGCTAAAAATTGGTCACATCGTGTTTGCCGTAAAAAGCGGTTCAGAGTACGTTGCACCGATTGTCTAGCACGAATTGTTTAGTTGTCCCAGTGTCGTAGTTCTGCTTTGGGAAACGACGCTAACGCGAGTACTAGCAAACCTCCTCCTTCTAACGCGGCTGCTTTGTAACCGTCATTGCATTTGTGCTTCCACTGCTGTCGTCCATTCACAGCCAGCAGCAACAACGGGACCAAAATACTTATCCACGTTAATCCACGAATCCGTCAGTAGAGTCGTACGGTTCGTTTGGCTTGTTGAATATCACACCGTCACTTCATTGACGACGCAGATGCTATTTCTGCGACTCTACAGCGCAGCTCCGGCAAGGAGCCGCATGATCGCACGGAGGATGCGGAATATAAGGCCGATACATGCGTACAGTGCATGCACGTGCACATCAAAGTATCTGGAGTCGCGAACCTGACAGAATGGCTGCAGCTCCACCTAGCCTACATTTAGCAGGTGATGCCTGCGCTCCACGAGGCAGCTCGCCAGTTGAGACGATGCTAACGATGACGGTGACGACAATGTCAGGCAAATGGCACGCAATCAACAGTTCACTCAGCTTGGCAATCGTTTAGCTGGTAATTGTAGTTGTAGTAGCTCCCGCTTGAGCTTCCGTGATTTGGCTGCCTTGTCTGTTCTTTGCATCGCAGGTTCATTTGCCATTCATCCCTTGGACAGGAAAGAGGTTCATGCGCCCAGCCGCTAGGGCAGCCAGCCCTTGTTGCTGGTTCATGTACTGCCAACTCAGCAATGCTATCCGACTGAGCAGGTCCAGTGCCAGTAATGGCTAGCAATGAGATTAGCTTACGGGTCCCAGTTCAGCTGGGATAACGCAGCTATGCGGGGTTTGTCTGGTGGGGGCCGGGGTTTGTTTGACTCCTGCGTTCCTGCCCCTTTCTGTCTAGATCTGGCTGACTTGCTCACTGGCTGGCTGTGTCTCTTCGATGTATTCGCTCCGTGACTTTCGATTTGCATACGTCTGATGCCAGCAACTGTTTGTGGCTATAGGGACGTTTTGTTATTGCCCCTTCGGCCCGTTAGACACGCGCTGGCTGACTGAAGCCGATTCTGCTACCTATGCAGTTAGCTGGGCTTTCCCAATGCCGCGTGCTATTGGCCGCGCTTCCGCTGCGTTCGGCTGGGGGCCTACAATCTGTTCGTAGCCGGAGGTTTAGGTGGCGGTAGTTGTGCTGGTAGCGGGGTTCGAGTCGTTGACGTCATCCCACTCAGTGTCTTCTCCTTCACCACGATGCTGTCCTTTCCACCGAATCGGCTTCTAGCTAAGGCGGTCGAGCCTAAAACCAAGACCGCCGATGGTGGCGCGGTGGTAGTGTTGCTGCTACCGTGACTCCCTCTCTGGCTGGTCTATCTGGCCTGCACTGTGCTGCGGTGCCGTCCCCGGTGCCGCCGTTGTGCTGCAGCAAACCCTCGTCTTTCTGTTCTTCGAGCCCCAATCCAACCCTCTCTTGACCCTCCGCCTCGTTCGTAAGGGCAGAGTGTGAGCAGAATCCAGAGCCACGGTCCTCGTGTGGGGGTTGGGGACCCTCACCCACTCTAACCTCCTCGCACGACCTACCCTTTCCTTTCGGTGGCTGCAGTATTGAGAGTAGAAGCGCGACGGTAGCAGAGGGGCCTCAGAAGCTTTCATAGATGCATGAAGGTCGAGCTGCTAGAAATCGTGACGAACGGAGCACGGTCAAGCATCGGGTATCAATGATAGATCGAAACACATCTTAGAAGCAGAAGGCATTTGCGAAAAGGATTCTGGAAAACGCACAGCGTTCTTGCATTCATGCATGCCTCCTAATTTCAATATTGTTTCTGGGCTACTCAACAGACTGACCCAGTGCCCGTGACCAAAAGTTCATGTCCTTCCATGATTCAGCATGCAAAGCCTCATCTTCTTTGTCTGACGCCACCCAATCTTATCCAATCTTATCCAATGTTCAACCCAACCAATTCTCTCTCCACACAGAAGACGCAACAGCAGAAGAAGCACTAGTGGCTAGTGCTCCTTCTACTGCTGAAAATACATTCGTCGCCAACAGAATTTAGACAACACGGATCTTCCGTTCCGATCTGATCTGCGACCTACAAGAGAAAGAGGAGAACCAAGGAAATAGAGAGAGCCAATGCCAATACAGGAATGGAGAGGACATCAGAGAGCCAGAGCTTCGACGCTGCTCCGGAGCAGACGTGGACTCCAACTCCTTGGCACTTGGAGCGGCTGAAGTTCGGAATCCGTTGAAAACAGCGGTCCTGGAAACATTGAGCTCGGTGCCTGTTTCTAACCAATGACAATGACATTGGCAAGCATCGAGTTTTACTGGCGTACACGGAAAGCACTGTTCGGCAACAGTGTCACTTTAAAATTCCGAATTTTGATAGCATTAAATGGGTACGGAATGGGAAACGATAGGTGTGGGGGAACAAAGTCTGGCGCCCTGTTTTGGAAATCCGAATAGGACGCGCATGCGCGCGTTCTTCGTTAATTGGTTGAGTTAGGTCATATGGGGGTTTGAAGCGCAGTCGAAACAACTACGAAACGACAAAATGGAACAACGAAATCTGCAAAAAAGGATTTCAACGTTGGTAGACGGCAAAAGGAAAAGGGAAAGAAAAACGACAGTGACACTCGGAGTCGAAAAGCCGGTGGAAATTCATCGGCTGTTATACGGTTCGATAGTACAATTAGAAGAGAACAAATGCAGTCGTGGCAAACGATGACCAGTTTAGTTTTCCAGCTTGAGCGGGCGAGAAGTCATATGGTATGATTGGTAGGTGGACAAAGGTGAACATTTCGAATAAAATAAATAAGCGGTATAAAAGCGTGAACGTGGAGGGAGCCTATTGTATAAAGGAAGAAATAATCGAGAAAAAGGTGGTAAATAGATCATCGGAGTGACCTACTTTTAACAAACATAGATATGCCGTAGCGATTCGGTCATGCATCGGAGGTCATGAACTGTGTAGGGGACCGAACTGATTGAACGCAATCCAGCACCAAGACTTCGGCCGGACAATGTCTCGCGTCCATCGAAAAATGCATGATGAACCTTGCTTGAAGCCAGTTAACTTCAAGTCTAAAAAAGAGCTGTAGAATCTTTAACTCAAAAACAGCATGAGAATTGGACGGATCAGAGTGGGGGGCAAAAAGTTGAGAACACAAAACAGGGCACGCTATGACGCGGCGATAGCTGAAGGCCACTTTTCGTAGGTGGTCGTTGGTAGTGCTAGTGTTTTTTCGCACTTTTCTCTTGCAAATACTATATTGCTACGCACACTGCCTTATGTCACGCTCTCTGGAAAACGCTGATCGCAGAAAACTAAGTCTTCTTTTTTTGAAATTAGAAACGACAGGAGAAAAGCCAGCTGGTAGCGACAGATACGAAGGAACACTTGTAGCACGCCAGGCTTAGCGAACAAGCAGAAGAGAGTATGCCATCCCGTTATTTTTCGAAAATTAACGTGTTTTGGAAAAATCGGAGTGCTGGCCGTTGAAACAGAAGATCCGAAGTACGTCCTCGTGAACCCTTTACAAGCTACAAATTAAAAACGCCGCTCCGTCCTTTACGCTGAAAGCGTGCATGTGCATCCAGCTAGGTAGATTTACGAAACTATCTTACGAATCCTGAGCTTTCATTAACTCTAATAAGCGGATAAACTGGACGAAATGGCAGCACGGCTGCCAGTGTAGATCTATGAGGAGCAGCACTGCCGATCGAAAGAAAGTACTTAATATTAATTTATAAACTTAAATTTCGACAAGCATTTAATAATAGATTTATCTTCGAGAATGTTCGGATTTCCAAACGATATGGGACATTTTGATATACATAGCTTATTTTTTTCAAGTGGAAAAAATGAGGCGTTGTCTTTGCTTACCGCCGAAATACTCATCGAATGAGGAAGACTTTGGGCGTCCTTCGCGAAGTGAGGACCAGAGTTTTTAGAAAAACGGTCGAAGAGTATAAGCAAATATAACCCCATATGATCAAATGGTGAGAGGTCAATTGTATTTTACACGAAATGACTTATTTATGCTCGTGACAAGTTTCTCAAAATCAACAGCCCTTTTGCTATTATAGTTGCTTCTGTTACCTACGGCCTACTTTGGACACAAACAATATCGCTTTGGGCTTTACATAGTAGCAATCTGTAATGTCGCAACTCGAATAATGGCGGAAACGCTGCTTCATGCATACTCCATTGTGCAATGTATCATAAAGGCAAAATAATTCGTAGGCTGTCGTTTGGTAGCTGCAGCAGATGATAAACATACATAAGTAGAATAGGGAGGTAGGTTCTTTTTTCAAGATGAACTTTTTCGAGAGCGACTAGCAGGCTTATCATCGCTCAGACCTTTCAGAGGGAAACTTTTTAATGTGACGCTTTTGATAGCTTCAGCTAGTACATGTGCGTCACAATGTTCTCTATGAGATGCATCGATTAGTCCTAAATGGACCGGCGAACAAACATCGGCCGTCTGACTGAAAGCGTATTTGTACGCCTAAGGCTGTTGCCGTTCATAGGAATCGACTAGGCAGATATCACACAGCAGACCCGTCCTTATATAGTACTTCAGCTTATTCCAGGCGGACCCAGCTGTTTCCTTCTCCGAATACGGACGAGCCCGTCAATTTTTCAATGCAATATAAATACGAACCGTATAGGGAAAAAAATGTACAGGGTTTTTTTTTTGCTATTGTTATTAATTAAGCTCTCCCTTTTCTTAGCAAACCTTGACATTAAAATTATACAGTTGCACCCATTGTGGATTCTCACGGAGGGAAATCGGTTTGCTTTTGCATGTATTGTTAGATTCAAGCGATTTCAGATTTTCAATTTGTCGGGAATGAGCATATAGCGCTAAACTAGTGCTTCATGAAGATGATAAGTCTTGGGATATAGCCCGAACAACTAAATACCTATCGATGAGTTACACTTGACGCTGGTTGGCCCTAAACATTGCGGAGTTGCTCTATTGAGGACAACCATGAAGGCTTCATTGGCACATCGAAAACAACAGTTTTTTTTTTTTTTTTTTTGTTATTCCTAGTGCTAGAAGTATTCAGTCAATTTTTATTATTATCACTGTAATGTTGATTCGCAATATTGAAACAGCTCGTTTCAACCTTAAAGATCGAATCTATCTTCGAATAAACACACTCGGTCACTTTATCATACTTTAATAACAATGCTATTATGTTTATTTTCAGTATCATCGTCATCATCATCAGCAGATCTGTTGCAGAAGTTCTCCTTATATGGGTATCGTCACAGAAATTATGCTTTTATTTAAATTGTCTACATCTTACCTGTAATGTGTCAAATAAGGGTTGAGTAATGATACTCAAGCGATTTACCGTACTGTCTGCCTTTCTGTACCCGTGCGAATTCGATTCGGTGGTTGGGCATCTGACGAAGGATATCATGAATTTCTTTTCTAGCTTTTTCTAGAACGCTCATTTTTTGAATGACGAATTGCGTTTTGTTTCCCTCTATCCGGCCGTTGACCGATGCACGATTCTCACTCGTCGCCTTGGTAGAAGCTTCCTATGAATGACTAGTATGATGGCAGCCTTCCTGTACCGCCCCTCCTCGGACTATTCGATTTGAGACTGAGGTCGAGTCGATCGGAGTTCCATACGTACACGGCGGTGGAGGGTTCTGAATATCGATTGATTGGAGATTTCTTTTGACTTTCGATTACCTCACCAACACTAACCCCCTTTTCTGAAAGCGTCTGCTACCCCCGCCCCCCGCCCTCTTTTGCGTTTGCCGACCGATTTAGTCGAGGGGTTCATGTTGTCGTTCGTTTTTCTCCTGGATAGGACGTCGTGCTTGTTGCCGCCTTGATTTGATGCTGCTTCTTCTTATGCGGTGAGAGCTTACGTCGACAATGCGGCATCTGTGATGACCACAGCCCATTGTCCAGACAGGTCAGCTTCGGCGCCTGTAAAGGACGGTGGAAAATAGTTAACGTTCAATTATCTATTGGTAGTACTGACGGTACTAGAAAGACGGAGAGAAAACCGTATCAGAAAAGAACGAAGCGTAAAGAGCGGTTTGCTTTATTATACAGAGTTGACTCTCGTTCTCGGTCTGCCCATCTTTGTTGTGTTGGACCAGTAAAAGGCTCTGCTCGCAAAAACCTTTCCACGATACGATTTTAGTTATAGTTCTGGGGTGCAAATTAGGCTCCACAGCTGTTTATCGAACTTACTAAGTAAGCTTTGTATCGGCCACTGGGACTAGCATTACGTTCAAGCCCCGCCCCATACAGTCGTTGGAGCAACCTTCATCGAACCACTTCGTTGTGTCCTCTGAGGTAATGCCTAAACGTCTCAAACAGCGTAAAATTCAGTCCTAACTAGTTCACCCCCCCATTGGCGGTAGAGGTACTGTGTCGATGCTGATTTTTTTACAGGCGAATTACACAAAATCTAATGAATAGAGTTCTGTCTATTCATAGTTAAAGAAAGCGTGTGATGCTGTCACCTATCGAATTTTTCTTTCATTTCAAAGTATCGCCATTTTGCTGCTTTTAAATAAATGGCCTGTTTTTTCTCCCATCGATACTGTCTAAATTTAGCGAGCGGCCGCCTCCCGAAAAAACATATTAGTCGTTGACTAATGTCCTTCCAGTTACCATCTGTGCTTCGAACGTCTTATCGAAGAACGGATCTTATTGGCGTACACATGGCGAAAAATTTCTAATGCCTGTCAATAAGGAAGTGTTTCTTGCCCGAAATGTTAGCCTACATCACTATAGTAAATCGCATTGAAAGCACCCGCTCATTTTACGCGTTAACGCAAATAAAATCAAACGTACAAAATCAAAAGTACCTATTTTATCGTTTAAATGAGCTTAACTACGCGATTATGTTTAAAGTAAATACTATTACACGGCGTTAACCATAAAATAACTCGCGATGACTATGGTACTTGTATTTCGAATCTGCACACACACGATATAACAGGCAAGTGAAATAGATATATAGATCGTCTGTTGTATGTGAGACGGCTTTTGTCACACGCCTACTATTGTAAACTTTCTGTAGACAATAAAGAATAATAAACACAATAATTTTTATTAGAAACATACCTTGAGTACTCGATAGCCCTGGTTGCAATGGACCTGCACACTTTCGCCGACGTCGTAATGGAATTTACGAGGAAGCAGTCGTCCATGCGACGGCTTCCCAGGGAATTCGCAGGCAGGCTTGCATCGGGGCGCCGATCGAGACCAGGTTCCGTTGTATTGGCACATCGTCTTTTGCATATTTCAGTGTCGTTTCGATGTTGTGCCGACGTGCGGAGTTTCATCACAATCCGGCCAGGAAAAAACAAAGCCCAGAATTCGTTGAAAGCACGGCGAACATAAAAAGGCAGAACAAAATCTAATTAGTTGGTGGATGGCAACCTGATAATTGACCAGCTGGGCTAGTTGTGCCTCGGGTGCCGTCATCGCCCAAATTGCTTAAGCAACATCTTGTAACGTGCAAATATAATGGTAACTCTGATAATAAGTGAACGTTATTTGCCACTGACGTGGTAACGATCTTTTCCTTCAAGGCTGGCCGATTCATTACGGCATTTCCACCCTATTACCGACTGTAATAAAAGGTTTAGAACGGAAAAACGTTTGATTACGAATTCTATTGGTACGGCCCCGTTGTCTAAATTAGTAGGTATTGACAAATCGGTTATTTTACTAAAGTCTGTAATTTAGAGTATGGTGCTCGATGAATAAGGAAAGATTCATAAAGAGCGTGCTAATACCGCGTCGTTTCAATAACTCTTTATCTTCATCGTCAACCTTTACATCCAGTTCTCTTGTGCAGGCCAAGCACAGTCAACAAACGCTGCGTCAGACTTGTTTTGGTTGCAAACGAAACATTTCGTAATTGTGCTTGTTTCTTTATTATTTGCAAATATCTTTGAAGAACGGATAGAAGATAGCATTTTAGAGCAACGTTTATTGTGGCATTTAAGCGCTAACAACGTCTAAATTAAGGCCAACCACAAGTGCCTTTATTCTAAGTGTAGACGTTCCAGCTCCCCACCCACCATTAGAGTTAGTTACGGTCACTGGTGACTTAGCAGCTTTGATCAAGGTTCCGCTGCAAACTAGCGACCCTCTTTCAACTGGTACAATCGTTACTATAAAACGGCTCTTGAGAACACCACGTCAGTGAAGCATTGTTGCTTTTTTTATCTTTTCGCTCTCTGAACAAGGAGAGCGATATCATGCAGACAGCTGTACGTCTTCTCCATAAGACTATCAAGTACTGACCGCATTTACTCATATGCGCAAATATGCCCCAAAAGGCAAGATACTACCGTTGCTGGTGAGTCGTTGACAAAAATATACACATCCTGTTGTCACATTTCTCTTAACGGCCACTGTCCCCGTGCCACCCGCTTGTCCCCCGTACTCTAAAAGCCATTGTTACTATTGTTGTTGCTATTATTATTATAAAGTCTGCGGTCAGGACGGAACGATCCCAGCTGGTTTGCTGCTGGTGGGGGAACGCTTGGTCTACGTTGCTGGAGATGATCGCACTCTGCTTCCTTTCGACAGGACAGAGGGCCACGAACCGCTTCGTCGGAAAGAGAAATTCGGGGCTAGAAGAAGATGCCGAGAAAAAAAGATGGCAGCCAGTCATCGTTGCAGCGGATGGGGTTATGGGAAAGGTGCGTTCTTACCACCGCAGTCAATGTCACTGCAGTCTCGGTTAAAGGAAGATAAATGCGTCTTCCGTACCACCAAAGCCAGCACCGTCGTCACTGTCAACAGCCCATAGAGCAGGCTTAGGGGCTGCCACGTATGAGTGTATGGCGGAAACAGGACCAGGAGTAGCAGCTTGGTACTCGTTTGGCTCGGAGCAACCCGTCGCAAGGGGATCCCAAGAGGAGAAGACTTACAGGAGTCATACGGCGGCTTCGGCAGGCTTTGTCCCGAGCAGACAAGCGCGCCGCTGGGCAACCAGGACAGAGCAAGGACTATATGCCGGTCTGGCATTTGGCTGGCAGATTTCCTTCATAAAGAAAACGGCGGTGAGGCCAACACACGTCGTTTCCACGCCATCGTCAGACGCCGATTCGTCGAAACGGTGAATCTTCAAAGCATCCAACCAGTAGCAGCAAGAAAGCTAGTAACTGCGGACTAGCAAAAGAACGAACGCATTGATGACGGTGACTACGAATCCCGTCAAGGCTGTCCACATCCCCCGCGAAAGATACCCAAAAGCTTCGTTCACTAGTAACCCAGGAAAAGCCATAACCTCTGAATCGGTATTTCCTGCGTTTGTCCCTGTGGGTAAAAGATGCGCCGCGCGTTGAAAAACGCTGCTCGCCACCCCCTCGCTCATTCCCACTATATATATA